TATAATCGAATTTAGCTTCAACAGTGGGTGCACCTTCTATCTCTACACACATGGCTACTTAAAATTCTTCCTTAAGCTTTGAGAAAAAGATCCATCCTAGTTCTGCCTAAATAAATGTAACTAAGATGCCTAGGTCAATATTAAAGCAAACAAAAAAGCATTTAGCAAAAATCACAAAAATTAAAGTCACATTTAAAATTACAAATGCAGAAAGCACACTAAAGGTAAATTGGAAGCAACAGATTTCATGTGGAAGTTTAGAGGACAACTTGCAGACAGGGTTTCTCTCCTTCTACCATTTAGGTCATGGAAATTAATCTTCATGCTAGCCAGCAGCATCTTTACCTTAGAAGCCAGATGACCAGCCCAATATGAGTTTTTAAAAATGACTGTGGCCAATTAGTTATTTAGACTCAATTTCTTCTTCTATTTTTCCCTGTCTCTCTGTGTGTTTCCCCAGTGTCTCTCCCTCCCCCTTGTCTTCTTTTTGTTACCTTCCAGTTTCTGAAAGGACTCTTTCACAATAACGAGTAATTGGAGGGAAAATAAATCTGTAGCAATACTAGATGTGTTTGATTGTAAATTTTAAATTATCTTCTTCTGTGTATCCTTAAGGTGAATTGTTTTGTTCATATGAGTACTACACTTACCTCTCTGTGTGACTCTGCTTGGATTTTATATTTAGGGTCTCCCTAATTGTTCCTGGCCTGTAATCTGCTATGTAAACTATGTTAGCCTAGAACTTGAAGTGATTTTAGCTCTTCCTCTCATGTGGTAGTATTCCAACCATGGGCCACCATGCCCTGCTTGCATGTCATATTAATCTTGAATCTAATGTGTATATCCTAATAACTATGCTTTAATTATCCCAAAGTAATAGAAGCAAAAGAATATTCATAAATAAGGAGTTAAGGCTAAGTCTGTGGATGTTAAGGACACAGAGAGTACTTCCTGAATTTTTGTTGAGGAAGATATGGAATCTGAACTCAATTTCAGAAGCTCAGAACAAATAAGAAGGAAAGAACCAACTGCACAAAGTTGTCCTGTATCACCACAGGAGTGATGTCCCATATCCATGTAATATAACCACACACATGCATGTGCACACTCAAGTCAAGTTTTTAAAATGTTTAGGAAGCAAAAGAAAACTCTGAAAAGCTTACACAAGGCTAGGACAATAAAAGAAGATAAACATTTCATTTTCACAAAAGCCCAGTACCTAGACCTGCTTTTTAACCTTACAGGAAGCCACAGTACGTAAATCAGGTCGAGTCAGTAGTAAATGGAGAAAAGAGACATATTATGCTGTTCAGTAGAGAAGAGAGTAGACAAGTTCTACCTGGTCAAGGTTAGAAGATGAATTGAATTTGAAATGTGATATACAATTACAAAAGGTACAGGAAACCTTCACCCTCTTCTCACCAGGAGTATGTACAGGAGGATAATGCCAGATAATGCCATCACAATTTCTCTTACACTGGAGAAATTGAATAATGCATCGATTTTTTTCTGCAGTGATTTATGGAAAAAAATATATGAAGTAGTCCATTCCATTCCAAACACCTGTTTCAGTACTGCAGTAGGTTGGATGATTACAGTGTCCCCAAACTTCAGAGAATATTAGAATCATATAGTATGCTCATTAAAATACAGATTCCTGGCTCCTCCTTGCAGAACATACAAGTCATCACACTTGGGAAGAACCTAAGAATTTATATTTCTTTATATTTGTAAGAATATTATATATATATATATATATATATATATATATATATATATATATATATATTTGTGATGCTGAAACCACTGACTTAAGGAACATATTTTTGAAAGCATTGATTTTATTAAGATAAATTCATTTAGACTCATCAGAAGAATTGCTTTCATGGCACCAAATCAGTATAAAACAATACTTTCCACAAAGACTTTCTGAGCTTTCACATGCACAGATAAATAAACAGCCTTTTTGAAAGGCTTGGGTGATATACTCTTGCATCTGTATATTTCTGAGTGTTGTCCTTTTTTGGACAAACAGCAACAGTCTCCAGAGCAGATTTCCTCTGGAGATGGGCTTTCCTGGGATAATTTATACAATTTAATAAGTCCTAGAATTCACCTCATAAAGCCTGAATTTTCTCTTCTCTTTAGTTTTTAATATTTGGATCAGAAAAATATAGACAGTTTTATTTATGTATATCACTGATCTAGAATAAATGAAATACCAAACCTTCCAGATAAAAACCCTAAAAAAAGTATTCAAAAATTAACCAGGTTATTAGTGATAATATTTCAAAAGAAATTTTACTGATTGTAAATAAAAGAGAAATTTAGAGCACTGAATCAATACCTAGGCATATAGTAGGAACTGGTAACAGATGGTACCTGTTTTGGGTCTCAGATTGTGACATATTTTAATGAACATTAAATTCTTATTCACTGCCTGAGTCAGCAGGGGAATTTTACCTCCAATTCTAGACCAGCTGTCAGGTTTTGTTAATTGGCTTAAACTATCAAATGGTAAGACTTATACAAAATATATTTTCACTTTGTTCATAGCTAAGGTGACATAATATGAATTTTAATCACATTCAGATTTTATTGAGACTTCACTAAGAATTTTCATTGTCCTGAGTCTGGGAAAGTCTTTTATTCACAAAATGCCACATAGTAGCATATGATGTTTGGAAGTGACAGTTTGGAATCACAGCTACTTTGTTTCCAGTAAAGTAAATGATATGAGGAGTTTAAAAATAGCTTGAGAGGCCTGGACCTGAGTCTAGATGTCTTAGTGCTTATTGTAACTCAGCTACTAGTGTTATATAATCCCTGCTATATGGCATGCCTAGACTTCAATTTCCTCTTCTAAAATCAACTAAGTAGCTTATCTGACAGATCTATAACTTGTAATTCAATTGAAGATATACTAGCTTTATGGCATTTGGACTTTGTCACTTGGTTGCTTCCTAACAACAACTTTATTGATTAGTAAAGCTAATCAGAAGTATAGATAGTAACTAGCTATCTATATTGGTATCTGTAATTATACAAAATGAATTAATAATACTCTGATATAATACATTCTGGATATGACTGTCCAATAAATCTCAGATGCTCTGCTATCATTTGGCCTTGATGTTTCTTCATAAAGAGATGAAATCTATTTGCTTTTCATGAGAACTGGGCAGATTTATGACTGCTTCAACCAAGTAGAAAAGCACTGATGCTAAATAATTTTTAGGTTAAGTCACGGTTGCAGGAATAATCTGTGTGTGAATTCTGAGTACTCGAAGCACTCATGCTATGATGACAGCAAACAAAACAATGGCAAAGAGGTTTAGTCAGAAACCGCGGAATTTCAAGCATCCATGCTGAGGTAGCACAAGATATTAATGAAAGAGCAATTTCAGATTATTCTAGTTCCTACTCACTTATATACTGAGAGTCTAAATATTGAGAAACAGAGATGAATCATCCCATTCTGTACATACTGAGTGATAGTGATCTACAAAACCCATGAAGATAATATAAAATTCACATGTCTTTTAAAAATTCAAGTTATATGCTATATAGTAATTCTAAAGACCACCAACTCTCACCTTTTCAGTCTTCTGAATTAAGTGTTCTACAGTCTTTATTTCTTATAGAGATTTCTCTAACTGGAACTATACAGTAACTACTTATTGAAAGATTAATATGTGTGATTCACCATTCTGAAGGCTAAGGGCATGACAGTAAACAGAAAACAGAATGTCCATATTCACAGGATTTGTCAACTTGCCACAAACCTAGACATAGCTGGGGAGAGATTATCTCAATTGAGGTAGTGATTCTATCATGATGTCCTGGAGTCATGTCTGTGAAGCATTTGCTTGATTGATAATTGGTGGGGGCAGTCCCAATACAGGGTGGGTGGTCTTGGGTGCTATAAGAAAGGTGACTGGGCAAAAGCCAATAATCAGCATTCCTCCATGGCCTCTATTTCAATTCAGAATATTCTTATATTTATCAGAGTGCATGACTAAATTGTCATAATTACTTGTCAACCATTTATTGAGCCAAAGGATTCATCTTTTGTTTGAAAAGATGATTTCCACACATTTCTTGCCTAAGGATATGGAAGCAATGTATCCTGTCCTCTAGAAAAGTATAAACTTTACTCAATTGGCCCTTCTATCTTTGTGGCAAATTGCAATGTATACAATGCTCTTCTTAATAATATTTTTTAAACTTTCTTTTGATAAAAAGTCTTATGTATCCAAGGCTGGCCTGGAACTTTCACTGTGTTGTGAAGGATAAGCTTGAGATCCCGATCCCCCTGCTTCTACCTCCAAGTGCTGGCATTATGGGTGTGTACCAAAGTGCACAATTTATGTGGTGCTGGAGGTCTAATGGAGGAATTGCTATATGCTAGGCAAACACTTCACCCAATGAGCTCTATCCACAGACTTATTCTGACTCTTATGATGTCATGTTTTCTCTTCTTACATTCTTGAATTCTAATCCTTATTAAGATTTCTTTGTACTCTGTCCTTCACTCAATTGTACATATTGCCTGAATTTCTGCCCTTTTTATTTATTATTTTACAGCACCCAGTCTCTCTGCACCATGTTTACCTGTCCTCCAAGAATTAACTAGTTAGGTATCAATTTCTGAGAGTCTGGTACATCTGTTGACAAGTAGGTGTTTTCACATAGATGTGGTAGTTTCATCTTAACATAGGTAAAACTAAGTTACCATTATTTTCATTCAGGTATTTTCTCCTTCGTTCTCCTATTAGGCTACCTAACCTTGAATCCAGTCTCCTAACTGAGAAGTTTATGTACTATCTACACTATTTATTTTTTTTTTTTGTCAAACAAATGTTCAGTTCCATAGATGGGAGGATAATTATGTTGTATTCTTTTTATGAACTACTCCAAGGATTACCTTTAGGTCTGTCTTTTTAAAATATGTTGTTTAAAATTTATATGGAAAGCAAACAAATGATTCTTAGTGTTGCTTTTAATTTAACAGAATTTTTACTCTGGGTATGCCTATAAAACCTACTTAAAAATAATTTTAAAGCATGTCTATAACTTTTTCAACTTTGATTAAGAACAGTACAGATAACAACTGTGAATAATCTGTAATCTAAGCATAAAAATGACTGTGGTTTAAGACAAGACAAAATAGACAATGTTCAAAAGTAATTGTATTATTGAGTTTCAAAAATTATTGAAAGCAAAATAGACCTACAGATATTTTTTGAAGACTTGATACCATTTCATTTCGATCTTTAAAGCCGCTTGTTTCAATCTTCTTCATTGCATCTTCTTTTTCTGAAAGCCATGTGCTAAAACGGCACTGAAAGGGATCAAAGAAGAATTATTTAAAATAGATCCTTTTGTTACTTGTCCAATTTAACACCTCTTCAGTTTCATGAAAGCCCCAATTTCCTCCTACAAAAACGCACCTGTTCTTCAGTAAAACGCTGCCATTTTAGAAGAATATCTTGTAAAAGAACCCAGCGCTCTTCAGTCCACCTGCAGATATTTGCCCATCGATCTCCCAATACCTGAAGATGGGGGAAATCAATCACATTATTAAAGAGTTGTAACACAATCTCATTTAAAATGGTAGGGATGCTTTAACAAAGTATCCTATTTTGAATCTCCTCTAAAGAATAGCTCTTCTGTTTCTGCTCATAATGAGGTAAGCAATATGCCTTTTATATCCTTTCAGATTACTTCACTCTTTCTTCCAACTTTCATTCAAAAGCAGAGATATTTGAATGCAATCTAAAGTAGTTATCCAACCATTTTTTGAATGTCTCTATAAGTGTTAAATAGAAAAAAATAAAATGGAGAATCATAAAGGATCAATATACAATATAAAACATATCAAAATATTATACCATGTACCATATAGATGAACAACTCTTATGTGCAAAAGACAGAAAAGATTTTCCAATGAGAACATCTAAAACAAATGTCTCCTTTAGATCTGAAAATATACCCTTTGAAGTAAATGTCTAAATATTAGACACAAAGCAAAAGTAAAAATTCTTATTTTAATAATGCACCAGTAATTAGAGTTGTCTAAAGAAAATTCTTAGTCATTTTTAGTTTTCTATGCATTGATTGTTTCTATTATTTGATTATTAAAAAATTCTTGATTATTATTAGAAAAGTATCAAATCTTCTGTCTGTTAAATACAACAGTGAGAAAATACTGCTGTTCTCTGAAAAATAGCTGTCATATATTTACTGTGTCCTTTGTGTCTACGTATATACACTATTTTAATATGTAACATAAACCAAAATAATTGACAATATTTTTGAATTGGAGAATATTATAATGTTTTATATATTGGAGAATAAATGTTACAGTGTTTTATGTTACAAAATTGTGTCATTTACTTTAAGGACTTCAGAGCCTCAAGTTTTTAAATTTTTACTCTTTTTTTCATATAAATGTTATTTTCTCATAGCAACTGGATCACTATAGCTAGACATATTATAAAATCTGTTATATATTACATAAAATCAGAGTAATGGAAAGTATAATTCCTATTTTTGAAACAATGTAACTAAAATGTATAGAAATTATAAAGTGTTTCCTATTTAGCTCATTCCATATTTTGAAATAATATCTCATCACAATATCTACCATTTTTGCATCAATTTACTCACTTTAAAAATGTTAATGTTTGAGTCAAACACTGCAAACGTATATAATACCAAGGAAATATTTACACATTGGTAAGTGGCTTGAAGATCAAAATACTTTCAAAATTGTTTCATCTACCTTTATTTCTAAGTGGAAATTCCATTTATGAGGAAGCAGCAAATGGCAAACATTTTACTATATTATTATAGCTGTTCAGTAGCAAATGAGTTTTCAGATTTTTCTGCAGAAATGTCAATAAAAATTTTATTGCTATCATCATAATGTAACTTATTTTCTTTGTTTTATGGTTTCATTTCTAGTCAGCTCCTTTTGAATTACATTTGTTGATTATAGAAACCATATCAGCAAGAAAGCAATGCAACACAATCATAAGAAATATACCAACTTAAATCAATTGCATCAACTACTTTAAACCAATGAGTTATTACAAAGAAGCTTTGGGGTTTTCTAAATGTAATGATTATTTAAAATTTTAAAATTTTTAATTATAATCATTTCTAAAACTAAAGAATTTAGATGTAGTTATCATTTTTGTACTTTTCTCAGTAGTGTTACAAGTAAAACAAATACAGCACTATGAAGGAGCATTTTCAAATTACATCTCTATAAATTAATTATATAGTTTATTGATTTTAGTAGGACAGCCTATATAGTACAATAAAAGGTTTCATCATAATATTGTCTACAAATACTTGACATATTTAAAAAAATACAAGAAATACTTGATATACAATTTGTTACACATTTTATGAATTCTAAAGCAGTGATAATTAAACATTCTTTTAGGTACCTAACTGAACTATTTATGACAACTATTTCAAGAATGTCATTTAAAATACTATTTGTGTCCAAATAATGATTGAATTGATAATTCATTGTTTTAGATTTGATTTACCCACTATGTGTCTTAGAGTTTATAACTTCAAGTTTATTCATAAATCATGAATTTATTAATTTTTATTGAAAAACCTAATGTACCAAGCATAACACAACAAAAGTATTCACTGAATTATACCTCAAATTTTTGTTTCAACGTTACACTCTGCCTTTAGCTTAAAGTATACTTCTATTTATCAAGACCTCATTTAAATCATAGTTTATTTTAAAATGGATCTTTGTGATTGGACTCTAAATCACTTTTACTTGTATCCCTAAAAACGAAATTCTGCAGATAAAGATCAGGCATGTGCACATAGAACAGACACCATATACAGGAAGATGGCAGTCCCCTAATATTCAAACTTATAAGACTCTCCCAATACTCTTGATCTTAGACTTCTCGCATACTGAACAATAAGAACATACATTAACTAGATTAAAAGAGCCTCTGGGATATTTTCTATTATGGATTCCTCACAAACATAAAACATACATGAGATATACTGATTATTTTATAAGGAATGTATAGCTAAATCATTTATACTCCTTTGAAAAAACTATGAAACAGTATGATGGACTGTACAGTGTTTCACCTTCAGAAAGGTATGAGAGCCTCACAAATTATTAAATTTTGCTTAGAAATGGCTTTTGCTTCAAATCTTCTATGAGCTTCCTATTGACAGCTATTTTACTCTTTTGCAATCAAAGACATTTTGAAAAGATGTTTGATCATGAAATCTATTATTTAAACAGTTTTAGTAGTACATTTCATGGTTTAAGTCTGTCTTATTTTTGACAAATGCTCAATAAATTGACTCAAAATCATTTGTGCTGCAATATGTATTAACTTAACAGTTTATGGTGATCTTTGTATAAATAGTAAGGAAAGTAGAAATATTTTTGTATTGTATATATTTAATATATATATTTGTATATATATATATATACATATATATATATATAAATATCCAAATAACACCCAGCAGTATACAGAGATATATGGTGGTTACTGAAATTTATAGATTTATCTGTGCATTGCTTTAAAATATTGACCTTCATTAATATTCACATATTGCAACGAAACACTGGGAAGATTATCACTCATCTCTAGAATCTATCAAAATCACTTATTTATGTTATTGCTTGAATGACAGTAACAAAGTTATTAAACAAGTATAAATGATTTGATCAAACAGTATGGATAGTAAGCTAAATAATTTTTAAGTAACAACAGCATAAGTATTGAAACAGTCTGTAGAGGAAAATGATGTATATTTACTCCAATGTCCCCTTTAAGTGCAAGAATCCCTTAAGGGTTTAGAAATAATGCATGTATCTGTGGTGCTAGATAAACATTGTAAACATAAATGCAAAAGCAGTGAATCATAACATATGCAAAGTGAGAAAAATAAATTTAGTTCTATTTATATTCTCATTTAGGTTCAGCCATAGTAAGCTTAAAGGTCAGTTCCCTTGCTCTAACACATTTTCATGGACTAAAAAAATCATAATTCTGTGGTGATATTGTGTTCCCCAATATATTGTGTACCCTAATAAAGTTATCTTGGGTCAGAGAACAGAACAGCCACTAGATATAGAGGCCAGAAAATGGTGGCACAGACACCTTTAATCCTAGCATTCCAAAGGCATGTTCAAAACCACACTGGAAACAGCCAGGCATGGTGACTCACGCCTTTAATTCCAGGAAGTGATGGCAGGAAGCAGAAAGGTATATAAGGCGTGAGAACCAGGAACTAGAGCTGTCTAAGCTTTTAGGCTTTTGAGCAGCAGTTCAGCTGAGATCCATTTGGATGAGGACAGAGGCTTCCAGTCTGAGGAAACAGGATTAGCTTAGGTATTGGCAAAGTGAGGAAGCTGTGACTTGTTCTGCTTCTCTGATCTTCCAGCATTCACCCCAATCCCAGGCTCCAGGTTTGATTTTATTAATAAGAACTTTTAAAATTTGTCTACATAGCTCCATTTTTAGTTATGCTCAAATTTACATTTGAGAGGGTTTTTTCCTATCACTTTATTCATATCTTATATTGCTATCCAAATCAAGAACATTTGTTGTCTGGATCCCATTGTTTGGTTTAGTTGCTTTTTCAAAGCACATGTAAAAAAGGGTCAAAAGAACATTTGGGTAAATTACAAGAATTTGACAAGCCTGGGAGGTAAAACTTAAGCACAGCAATACTCGAAGTTAAGGATGTCTGAGATAGAATAAGAGTGCTAAATTGTATCTGATGTGTTTGGTACTAAGAAATAAAGTGATGACAGGAATATGCCCTACTAAATAAGACAGTCACATGCCATGGACTACACAATGGAGCAGTCACAAAGTAGTGGGCCTCATAAAAGACGGAGGCGGCAAGCAGCCTTTTATTTCACTTGAAGACTTGATAACACTCCCTGAGCTAAATTAATTGTGTATGGAACAATGCTGCAGAATGTCATTCTGTATACTGTGAATGTATTTTGCTCTGATTGGTTGCTCTGATTGCTAATGATTGGCCAGTAGCCAGGCAGGACGTATAGGTGGGATAAGCAGACAAGGAGAATTCTGGGAAGAGGAAGGCTGAGTCAGGAGATGCCAGCCAGATACTGGGGAAGCAAGATGACAAGGCTGAACTGAGAAAAGGTACCAAGTCATGTGGCTAAACATAAATAAGAATTATGGATTAATTTAAGTGTAAGAGCTAGTCAGTAATAAGCCTGAGCTAATGGCAGAACAGTTATAATTAATATAAACCTCTGTGTGCTTACTTGGGGGATGAAAGTGGGAGAGATTTGTCCTGACTGTTGGCCAGCTGGGGCAAAGGAAAACTTCTGGATACAGAACAGGCCTTCTGAAAACTAACTTTTTCTTGAATCCTAATTTTCACTTTATAAGTAACCATGCACTTACCAATATAAGCAGTTCCATCTCAACAGAGGTAAAACAATAATCACATCAAGTTACTTATTGAAAGAAAAAACATAAAACCATTATGAAGCAAGAAATGT